CCTATCCCCCTCAGTCCCTGTGTTAGCCCAGCCCTGTCTCCATCCTTGACCTGCACTGTTTCTGTTCCTGCCTCTCCTGTCCTGTGTTTCTGTTCCTGCCTCTCCTGTCCTGTGTCCTGTGTCCTGTGTCCTGTGTCCTGTGTCCTGTGTCCTGTGTTTTTATCTCTGTCCCCATCTCTCCTATTTCCAACTTTGGCCCCTGTGCCCTTTCCCTGCTCCCTAGAGGGTGTGTGCCTAGTCTGTGCCCCAAGCCCTGCTCACCTCCAGGAGCTTGGTGTCAAATCTGTTTCTAGAATGAGCGGCACTGAGGCTGGATTTCTCCTAAAGAAAGGCCAGAGGGGGCCTAGCATCCTGCTTCCTCCTGCCGGGTTACAAGTTGTAAAGCCTAGAGATGCTCCGCAGTTTGAGTCAACAGAGTGGGTCTGGCACCCCTGGCCAGCACTCCTGCCTCCCAGAGCTACACAGCTGCTGTTCTCTTAACACTTTTCAGGCTGCTCTTTGGGGGTCGCAGTGGGAAGTTAAGCAGCCCACGGGGTTGCCTGTGCTAGGTCTCCTGCAGGAAAAAAAGGGAAGCTTCCCAGGGTGGGAGCACTAGGGAGTTAGGGCCTGCTAAGGGTTATGTCATCCCACCAGAGGGCAATGCCAGGCTGGTGAAACAGGTGGAGTTAACTCCCCCAACCTCACCCCAACACTTTTATGGGAGGAAACTCAGGTTAAGTGACTTGCCTAAGATCAGACTCCTAAGGAAAAGCAGAGCTAGGGCCCTAATCCAAGTTGGTATGACTCCAACTCCAGTGCCCCTGCCCCTTATCACAAATGCGAGTGTGAGCACATTTCTGCTTTGAGTATGTCTTGTGAGCTTTGACCTAATGGACAAAACAGTTGCTGTTGTTATGTTTGTTTAGTCCATGATTCAGTGGTGTGTGTGTGTGTGTATACACAGCCGGTGTGCCTTCCTGTGTACTCNCTGTTGTTATGTTTGTTTAGTCCATGATTCAGTGGTGTGTGTGTGTGTGTGTGTGTGTGTATACACAGCCGGTGTGCCTTCCTGTGTACTTGGTAGTAAGGAGGACATTCCTGCATTCTCTCTAAGATCATCTGGGAGGTATGATCATGTGCCAATTGCATGATCAATGATTCGCATCAACACGTTTCCCCGGAAGAAAAAAAGCAAACACGCTGTTCTTACTATGCATGAAACACTGTTCTAAGCACGTCCCATGTAGTAATTCAAGACTTCTACAGCCCTATACAGCAGGGATCGTTATCACTACCCTCGTCTTGTAGGTGGGGACATTTTAGCACAGAGACACGGCACAGCTGGCATTTGATCCCAGGCTGGCCATCTCTGGAGGCTCNCATGGCACAGCTGGCATTTGATCCCAGGCTGGCCATCTCTGGCGGCTCGGCCCTGAAGCACCACCTCAAGCTCTGCTCATCTCTGCTTGGTACCAGGGCACCGGCTCTAGCAGTGCTGCACCTGAGGCTTTCTCCCTGTGGTGTCGTGGGCTCTTTCCTTCAACGCTATGAGGGACATGTCTTCACAGGGAGGACACAAGGACTAGGGGATGTAGGTGACTTGCCAAGGCCACCCAACCACCAAGTGACAGAACAGGGGATTTAGTAGCTTGGATGACGATAAGGGTAGTTAGGACCAAGTAATACCTCCCACTTGAAACTAAGCCCCGGGGGGCTCCCAGTGTCAGCCTGAGGGGTTCCCTGTGCCTGTGAGAGGAAGCTCGAGTCTGTGCCTGGTGGGCTGAGCTGCATGTACAGTTCTCGGTCTCCCAAATATTCCCTGTCCTTTCCTCTAAGTCTTGGCAATAAAGGTGGATGGATGCACCCCCATGCCCAGCAGGAGCAGAGACTGAGCCCCCGAGGGTGGAGACCTGTCTCATTCTCCACTGCGTGTCCTGCCCCAGAGTGATGCAGGAGTGTTCCATGCTCAGGGTCGCTATGTTTTTCTTATGAAGGAATGGGCAAAATGCTTATAAAGTGTATTCTGGTTAAACAAGGGCCTGGGTTTATAATGATCAGATTCTTCCACTCTGGCTTGAGAGGATGCAAGGTGGGGATCTCAAGTAATCCACCCCCTCCCTACCCTGCCACAGCCCCATGAAGCCACTGGGCTGCCCCTCAGCCGTCTTCTCTGTGGCTTGACAGTCAGCAGAGAGATTCTGTTTGCTGCCTGATGAGGCACCGGGCATGATGGATGGGGAGGAGAGGTCCGGGAGCCCCCAGACTCTGTCCCTGCCCCCTGGGGAGCTCTGTGAGTCAGGGGAGGGAGAGAGAACTGAGTTCTTGTGTAGTAAATGTAAGAGGAAGGAGGAGAGAAAATTGACGTATATTGAGTTCCTACCTTGTGCCAAAATCTATGCTAGAACCATTATTTAATTTAGTCCTTGTGATAGGGACAAGGACACTACTGCCAAAAGAGGTGAAGTGACGCCCAAGGGCACAGAGCAGGCAGGTGGTGAGCAGGGATTCCAGCTCAGGCTGCCTCGGTCCAAAGCAGGCACTCCCTGTGTTAGATGTCACCCTGCCTCTAGTTAGTCACCTGGCTCTCGGGGCAGTTACCATGTGTCACAGTCCAAATGATGGAAAAATGAAGAAAAGGGAGAGGGAGAGGGAGTATTGTGCTTGCCCTGTGGACCTTGGAGGCCAGACTCTGAGTTCAGGCGACAGCCCAGGGTACCTCCACTGGATGGGTCTTCAGACCCAGAGCCTTAGCAGAGGCAAAGTGACCTTGGAAGAGCCCTGCCTTCTCTGTGAGGGCCCTCTCCAGGGGAGAAGGGAAGCAGGTGACAGTCAGCCAGACAGAAGACCCCTCTCCCAGTTGGCCACAGATGTGAAAACCAGTCTGTGAAGACCGGGCACAATCAGCTCTGGTTAGTTCCTTCCTGGTATTTTTTATTTATAATTTTTACTCAAAAATTTTCCTGGTAATAAAAGTCATGAATGTTCTTTGTTAAACTTTCTTGGAAAATATAGAAATTAGTGTAAGTAAGAAATTTGAAAATAAATGCATCGAAATTTTAAAAATCCTTTTAAAAAAATTTTAAACACTTAATTTTTTGTAGTATTTTTTAAGTTCACAACAATGTTGAATAGAAGGTACAGAATTCCTATATAGCCCCCGCCCCCACTCCTGCATAGCCTCCCCATTATCAACATCCTCCAGAGGAGGGCAACCGTTATGACTGATGAGCCTGCATGGGCACCATTATTATCCAAAGCCCATAGTTTCATTAGGGTTCGTTCTTGGTGCTGTACCTTTTATGACTTGTATAATGACGTATTCACCATCATAGCATCCTAGAGTATTTTCATTGCCTTAAAAATCCTCTGTGCTCCTCTATTCATCCCTCTTCTTCTCCTATCCTGTAGCAAGCACTGATCTTTTTACTGCCTCTATAGTTTTGCCTTTTCCAGAATGCCATATAATTAGAATCATATAGTATGTACCTTCTTCAGATTGGCTTCTTTCACTTAGTAATACGCACTTAAGTTTCCTCCATGTCTTTTTATGGCTTGGTAGCTCAATTTTTTTTCTAGCACTGAATAATATTCCATTGTCGGATGGATTACAGCTTATTTATCCACTTACCTAATGAAGTACATCTTAGTCTGCTTTTTTAAGTGAATATTCTATCATGATCATTTTCCCATGTCATTAAAGACCTTCAAAGCATGATTTTGCAACAGTTGTCTAACCTAGAATAATTTTAGCTGTGCAACAGTTTAATTATCATTCCTCTTGTTAAGCATTTGCAAATGTGGTTTTCTTTGGGAACAGTCATCAGGCACATGCATGATGGCCTTTCCATGTTTATGGAATTTGGAGGCTTGGCCCTCAGAGGCAGGCTGGTTCTGTGTGGCCCATGGTGTGGGCTGCAAGATACTGATAAGTGGGATACTGACTCAGCCTAAGCACGCAAACTCACATCAGAATGTTGTTCCCATTTAAGTTCCTTATGGTCCTTAGCAAGGAGAAAGCTTCCATCTGAGGTACCCAGGAATGAGGGGTGCTGCAGGACCTCTCAGGTCTAGAATGGGAGTCGCAGGCAAATTGGGACAAGTATGCATCTGGTCTGAGCCTGGAGTGCTTTCTCCACCTTTTGGACACTTGCTCATCTCCTTTCTTGACAAAATGAGAGCAAGCCTTGGACCCAGAAATTTTGTCAGGCAATAGTTAGAATTTAATAACTATT